TTAACCGCTTCGTTCTCACGGACGTGTATACACGCGCCGCGATATCGTTCACGCAGCCCCACAGACGCGTAAACACGCGCCGCGCTACCGTTCACGGAGTCTCACAGACGCGTAAACACGCGCCGCGTTATCATTCACGGAGTCTCACGGACGTGTACACACACGCCTACTGATTTGCTCCGTCTGGAGAGACTAAGTTTGTGGTTAGTACTAATTTGTAATTTCATTTAGTGTACGTTTGACTGTTCTGCAAAGATGACCACCATGCGACGATCTAGAAATCGAATTATTAGTGATAGTAGTAGTGAAAGTGAAAGTGCTGTGGAAAGTGATATGACTGACGAGGATGTTCCTTTGTGCGAAAGATGGAAAAATATTTTACGCCAAAGAAAATGGAATATTCCTACTGCCACGCAAAATTTTACGCCACAAGTTTGGAGGTACAGCGATTTACATCACGGTGTGTTACCCCAATCTGGTATATCAGAAGATAGTTCTTTTCTTCAAATCTTCAAATTTTTTTTTTGTGAAGAACTCATAGAGTTAATTGTGAAGGAGACTAATAAATACAGCCGAAAGCAAGGTTTCTCCAGATCTCAGTTTCATGTATCTAGTAATGATTTGCACTGTTTTTTTGCAATTATTATTCATATGAGTATTGTTCGCTTGCCGAAGATGTCCATGTATTGGAATACAAAGGCAATGTATAATTTTGTGTTTATTAGACAAATCATGTCAAAAAAAAAGTTTTTCAATATTTTGCGATTCCTTCATTTCACTAGTGTTGATGCAAATAATAATGAAATTAGAAAGACCGAAAAAATCCAATCCGTCATGGATATTCTTATTTGTCGTTTTCAAATGGCATATCGACCAAGACAGAACATTGTAGTCGACGAAAGTCTGTTATTATGGAAAGGCAGACTTTCTTTCAAGCAATACATTAGCAGCAAACGTGCAAGATTCGGCGTGAAATCATTTATTTTAGCCGAATCAGAGACAGGATATATTTATAATTTGAAATTATATGATGGACGCATATCAAATGAAGGACAGTCCAGATTAGGAAAGTCGGGTTCAATTGTAATGAATTTGTCAAGAAATTTATTAAATGAAGGACGAACCATATACTTAGACAACTGGTATACTTCCCCCGCATTATATGAGGAGTTACATAAATATAAAACACATGCGTGTGGTACCGTTCGAATGAATAGAAGAGGTTTGCCATGCGACGAAAAAATAAAAAAAATAAAAAGTTTGAATAAAGGTGAGCTGACAGTGCGCTATAACAAATTCATGACATTTAGTGCGTGGAAAGATAAAAGAGTGGTAGCGCTTCTCAGCACCGTACATACCCCAGAGTTGGTAGCCACAGATAAAGTTGATAAAAAAACGGGGCAACCCATTAAAAAACCAAACGTAGTGTTAGCTTATAATATGCACATGGGTGCTGTTGATCACACAGATCAAATTTTACATGGCATTGGATCATTTAGGAAAACAATCAAATGGTACAAAAAGTATTTCTTTTATTTATTAGATATTGCTATATGCAATGCACATGCAATTTGGAACTGCCTCCATGTAAACCGAAAAAGTTTGTGCGAAGTGAAAGAAGATTTAATATTGCAGTTACTAAATAACTACAACGATCCAACAGAGAATTTTCATCGGAAAGGAAGGAGGAATCATCTTCATCCATTGCGACTGCAATCTAGATGTTTCTTAAAAAAATTACAGCCAACAAATAAGAAATCTATGCCGATGAGACGGTGTGTATGGTGCAAGCAACAATCGATTCGCAAAGAAACCAGATATCATTGTATCAATTGTGATGTTGCATTATGTGCAGTTCCTTGTTTTGAATTATATCATACAGAGCAATAATAAATTTGAAATATTTTGAAATCAATGTTTATTACTTCTATATACCGTTTCCAAAATTAACACTTTTCCAAATTAAACTCTTTATCTAATACTAGCGTGTTTACGCGTCTGTGGGACTGCGTGAACGCTAGCGCGGCGCGCGTATACGCGTCTGTGGGACTGCGTGAACGATATCGCGGTGCGTGTATACACGTCCGTGAGAACGAAGCGGTTAAAAAGTCGTCTCCACTTTGTTTGTCTCCACAACAACGTATAGATTCGACCAGATCATCCAAATCCGAAACTTCACAAAATTTGGCCTGTGTTCAACCGCATCAATCGCTCTTTTATGTCAGCAATTACACCAAACCAAGATCTTTTCGTAGACGAGAGTTTATTATTATACAAAGGCAAATTGGGATGGAAGCAATACTTGCCATTGAAACGATCTAGATTCGGAATCAAAACCTTTATGCTTTGCGAGGCAAAGTAGGTTGTCAAGTATGAAGTGGAGCAAACTTCATGTTATTTATTTCAATCGCACACAACCTCATTTAGACGCCGTATTTTGGCATAATTTGTTCTTCGTGTGACTCTCTCTAACTCATATTTCATTTTGAAAAAATTTGCAATAGTTTTTTTGTATAGGCGATTAAGTGAGACCATGGAAATCAGCGAAATTCGTGTGTTGATGAAGTATGAGTTCCACCGTGGAGCCACAACACGGCTGGCAGTCACCTAATATCAATAGTGTGTTCGGCATTTAAGTAACTACAAACACGACTGTAGCTCGTTGGTTTACAAAATTTCGTTCAGGAGATTTCGACCTGTCTAATGAACCACGTGGTCGACCCAAGACTCGGGTGGATAACGTCGTCCTGAAAGCCACTGCGGAAGCGAATCCCAGCCAAAGTGCGCGTGAATTATCATTAATGTACAATGTATCGAAGCAAACAATCTTGACTCATTTGGCAGAAATCGGTAAAGTGAAAAAGCTGGACAAGTGGATACCGCATGAATTGACCGATGCACAGAAGGAACGAAGACTCAACGCATGTCTTTCTCTTCTTTCTCGCAACAAGGCCGAACCATTTCTCAATCGAATTGTTACGTGTGATGAAAAATAAATCATGTACGATAATCGTAAGCGTTCATCGTAATGGTTGGACAAAGATGAACCACCAAAACACTGTTCGAAGCGAGACATCCACCAGAAGAAGCTGATGGTCACTGTTTGGTGGTCTGATTCAGGTGTCATTCACCACAGCTTTATGGAACCTAGGCAATCGATCACGGCGGATGTCTACTGTTATCAACTAGACGAAATGATGAGAAATCTTGCGATTAAACAGCCAAAATTAGTTAATTGGATGACTCCAATCCTCCTGCACGACAACGCTCGACCACATGCCGCACGAATGACCATGTCAAAGCTACAGGAGTTGAAGTTGGAAACTCTCCGTCACCCACCGTACTCGCCAGACCTTTCCCCCACTGACTATCATTTCTTTCAAAATTTAAACAACTTTTTATCTGGAAAAAAATTCAATTCCGCACAGGCTGTCAAAATGGCGTTTCAAGAGTTCATCGACTCCCGTGATCCAGGCTTCTACAGCAAAGGGAAAAATGAGTTACCTCTAAAATGGCAAAAGTGTACCGATAATATGGGTGCATACTTTGATTAAAAATAAAAAGTTTTTATTGGAAAAAAATCGAATTCAATTATATGCATTTTTTGCTCCATTTCATACTTGACAACCTAAATAGAAACTAGGGTTAAGGGATGGCAGATGAAGAGCATATTCGGTATTGCATACTTTATGAGTTCCAATTAGGAAGAAAAGCAAATGAGGCTGCAAAAAATATCTGTAGTGCTTTCGGTCAAGATACTGTTGGCGTCAGAAAATGCCAGCGTTGGTTAAAGAAATTTCGCGAGGGAAATTTTTCGTTGAATGACGAGAGAGTAGTCGAGACCGTGTGTCTAATTTTGATCAGGAAGCACTTCAGGCTCTTTTGGTTAGAAACCCTCAAATAACGCAACAAGAGCTTGCGACAGCTTTAAACTGTTCGCAAAAAACTATTTGCAATCAATTGCGGCCACTTGGTAAGGTCCAAAAGTTTGGAAAGTGGGTTCCACATGAATTAACCGAAAACAACCGTAATCAAAAAGTCGCAATCTGCAGTTCGCTCCTCTCTCGTCAAAACCGATTACCGATTTTAGAGCAAATTGTTATTGGAGATGAAAAATGGGTGCTTTATGTTAATTTGAAGAGACGGCCACAATGGTTGGACAAAAGCGAAGCACCGCAGCCCACGCCAAAGCCTGACTTGCATGCGAAAAAGGCGATGTTGTGTGTTTGGGGGAATTTTAAAGGAATGCTTCATTATGAACACTTACTAACCGACCACGCCATTACAAGTGAAGTATATAGTGCACAATTGGAAAGGTGTGCTCAGAAGCTTGATAGGAATGAGGCTTGTGCTCATACTCCAAGGCCATCATATCAACCACAACAAATTTTAATAACAGTTTAGTGGAATGTGATTGGAGTAATTCACTACTCATTCCTTCGAACTGGGGAGACAATTACAGCCGAAAAAGTACTGCCAGTACATTGATGAAATGCATGAAAAATTGAAAATTATATTTCTCCACGACAACGCTTGGCCGCATACATACACCGTACAAAACAATTGTGAAATTAAATGAATTAAAATATGAAATTTTGCAGCATCCAGCTTATTCGCCGGATCTTTCGGCAACCGACTTTCAATTTTTTAAACATTTAGAACAGTTTTTACGGGCTGAACAGTATGGAAATGAAGACAGTTTAAAAAATTTCATATCAGAGTTTATTGATTCTAAAGATCAATGTATTGAAGCAAATGGAGCATATTTTGATTAAATAAACAACTTTTGAAAAAAGATATAGAAAGTGGTATATGAGACTCTTTTATCACTTCCTAGATCTAACACTAGTGAATGAGTTGTCTTTGAACCTCCGAAGTAATAAGACGCGTTCACGCGAACTCGTGTTTACGTTTTGAGTGATTCACGCAAACTTGTACTGTTATATTATTAGTATATTAAACGACGCAGGAATATGCCATTTCGGCAAGTTCGATGTGTTAATGTCTCACAACGGTATCCTAAAATTAAATCTTATTAAGACCAGTAAAAACTATTCTGTTGAAAATCAACCAAATAACTACAATTCTGCAACAACATCAATGCAAATGAATATGGTTTACAAGGAAACGCCAAAGAAACGTAAAATAATCCCTCCAACTATTGGGTTGGGAATAAGTTCGTAGCGTTTTTACATTTTCTTTTATTTTACAACAATTTTTTGCTGTTTGACAAAGTGTATAATATTAATTCGATAGAGCTCTTTCTGCTCTACAAAACTGTGCTAATCGTCTTTTTGAGTAATTTAATTTTTTATTACTCTAGAGGCTTAGAAATGGAATATCCAGGAGGTAAAAAGCAACATTTTCGACACCTTCTCTTCTTCGCTTTTCATCGAGGCCAAAAAGCTACTGAAGCAGCCCGGGACATTTGCAACGTATACGGATGTCGTCAAAGCCGCACTCCAACAGCTTGAATGGGAGGTCCTTCAGCATCCGCCGTACTCTTCGGACCTTGCACCCACGGATTACCATCTTTTCCGCCCCTGTTGAACCATATGAGGGGCGTTACCTTCGACAATGAAGAGGGCCTTAACACATTGACAGCCGGCCCCGCGAAAACGCGGGTTTTTGAGTCTGTCGCTTGAACGCCGGCCCCGCGAAAACGCGGATTTGTGAGTCTGTCGCTTAAGTAGCTGCCCCACGATGATGTGGATTTTTTTTTGCTGGTATGAGTGTCTTACACATCGATTTGTATTTACTTGCCATGGTTACGTCGATCTTCATTTGTCATACTCTAAAGATAAAACGTATACGATTGTTCAGAAACAATCCAGGCAAGAATCACTCTCGAGCAGTGTATTCATTCGTACGCTTATGTTTTTGATTGAACAGTATAACAAGTTTTTTTCTTCTGTAACTTTTTACCCATATAATATGAGTGAAAATGAGCATATTGCTGGCTCTCTATCGGATTATTCGATACATTCAGAAGATTCTGATGTAGAAGTCGAGGTCAGCGATAGTGATGTGGATCCAAGAAGAAGATCAAGAGCTATTCCACTACAGCATTCAAGCGATTCCGATGATTCCAGTGATTGTGAAATGTCCACAGAATCACATAGTTACAGTGAAGTATGGTCAGATGTCGATAAAATTCCTAATATACCAGATTTTACTGGTGAGCCCGGCCTAAAGATTTTTCCTACTAATAAGAAAAGCATAAAAGAAGTCGTCGAATTATTTATTGGCAATGATTTGTTTCAATTAATGGTCAATGAATCCAACATCTATTACCAGCAAAATAAAGACAAGATGAGTGAGAGGAAGAAAATGTCAAAGTGGCGTGATATTACTCTAGCCGAGATGAAAAAATTTCTTGGTATTATACAATTATAATGATGGGCCAGGTAAAGAAAGATGTAAAAGATGATTACTGGTGCTGCAATTTTTATACGAGAACCCCTTCGTTCTCCACTATAATGCCACGTAATAGATTTCGCCAGATTTGGAGGACGTGGCAATTTTCAAACAATCAAACAATAACCGGTTCTAATAAGCTCGAGAAGATTCTGTCCATTCTGAGCTATTTATTAGATAAATTTAAATCGATATATACGCCTAGGAAAGAACTTTTGCTTGATGAATCCATTATTCCATGGCGTGGAAAATTATCTACAAAAACATACAATCCGGCAAAAATAATAAAGTACGGCCTACTTTGCCGTATGCTATGCGAAGCTAGAATCGGATATGTTTCCAACATAGAAGTATACTGTGCGGAAGGTAAAAAATTGGACCAGACAATTATGTCATTACTTGATAAAAATATATGTTTGGGACACCACTTATACACGGACAACTATTATAATAGCATTAAAACCGCAGAATTTCTTATGACTTTGTGGTACAAT